CTCAGCTGGGCTTCGTTCTGCACCTGCTGCTTCCCTCTGCGAGCCCCATCCTGCAGCCTGGCTCACGCCGCCGGCTTTGGTGGGACTAGCTGGCTCGCAGGATCGGGCCCTTCGCATGACACACGCAGGAGAAGCCGACTCACTCGGGAAGGGCCCAGCTGAGACACGTTGGGTCCCTGCCCCCCCCCAAAGTCCCACTGTCCCTCATTGACCCTCTCTTCTACCCCAGCTGGCAACACTTGGGGGAGGGGGGACTGGAACAGGGCAGGGCCCTCAGACAGCCCCTGGGTGTTTGGCTGTATCCACTTAGCCTCTCACAGTCTCTCGTCCCTTCCCGGGTTTACCTTCCACCCCTCGGCCTGGGGCGTGGGTGGCTCCGGCAGCGTCTCCTCCTCGGCTGGCCTGGCCCGGTTACCCTCAGTCCTAGGCAGGGCAGCCTTCCCTCTGTGGCAGCGCCCCGTCCCCTGGAAACTTTCCCCTGTTCAGCTCCTCCCGGCGGCGCAAGCCTTGCAGGTGCGCCTCGTTAGCGCACGCAGGCCTAGAGGAGCTCGTTAGCCTCCTCTCGCCCAGTGTGAGGGCAGGTCCCTTCCCAGATGCCCTGATTCCCCCCACTGCCTGGCCCGTCCCCCTCGCTCCCCGGGCGGCCTCGCAGGCTGGCAGGCCATTAGCCAGGGCCAGGCAGGCCAGAGGCTCTCAGATGAAGCCTGAGGGCTCAGTTCTCAGTGGCCCTGTCCCTGCGCGGGGGGGCAGGTGGCTTTAGGCATAAATAAGAGCAGCCTCAAGGCTCTTCTCCTCGGCGTCCCCTATGGGGCCCTGGAAGCAGAGACTACCCAGAGTGCAGTGCGCTCAGCCATGCCCCGATCCACCCCCTCTGCTAGGGGCCTGGCTGGGGAGGTGCAGAGCCCCACACGGGGGAGTGTGATTCTGAGGGGGGCATTTCCACCCACTTTATGACTAGGAGCCAGTGCCCCCTAGAGGGGAAAGGCCCCGTGTCCCATTCCCTGCCCCCCTGAGCCAGGCAGTCCCCGCCCTGGGGCCGGATGGGAGTCGGTGACCCCTACAGGGGAAAGGCCCTGTGTCCCATTCCCTGCCCCCCTGAGCCAGCCAGTCCCCGCCCTGGGGTCGGATGGGAGTCGGTGACCCCTACAGGGGAAAGGCCCCGTGTCCCATTCCCTGCCCCCCTGAGCCAGGCAGTCCCCTGCCCCAGGGCTGGATCGGAGCCGGTGACCCCTACAGGGGAAAGGCCCCGTGTCCCAGTCCCGATCCTCAGCCTCTCACGGACCAGCCCCCTGTGTACATATTTCCGAGCTCCGGTCAGCACGGTCAGGGAAAACGAGTCTGAGAAATGCAGTTTGTTTCTGTGCCCCTCCCCCCATCTCTGTCTGGAAAATGCATTTTCGGGCTTGGCATTGTCCCTGGATCGATATTTCAGAGCTCTCGGTATCAAGCCCTCGCTGCACTTTGCGGCCTGCCTGAGCCCCGGCCCAGACACGCGGTTACACTGTCCGGAAACGCTGGTGTCGTGTCCTGGCTTCGGAGGGGAGCGTGATGGATTGTTAGCCAGCGGGGCGGGGGGCAGCTCAGCAGAGCCTTACCAAGGCTTGGACCGGGGCGTCAGCTGGAAGGGGAGCGGCCGTGTGGCTTAGTGGCCTGCCCTAGCCCACTGGCCCGGCACTCGGAAGACGCAGGTTCCATGCCTGGCTCTGCTGGGGGACCTGGGGCAAGTCCCTTACTGTCTCCGTGCCTCAGTTTCCCCACCTATAAAATGATACTGGCCTCCTGTGCCAAGTGCTTTGAGATCTACATGTGGTGCAGCCATTCCCTCCAGCACCCAGCGCCCAGCCCCGACCAGAGCTGCATCCCTCCCTGCCATTGCTCAGCTCCTGGGCCCGGGAGCTCGCCCTGCTCCCCCGCTGAGCTGCCATGCCCTCTAGGAGCGGGGGGCAGGAGCGGAGGAGGTGTCTCTAGTGCAGCGGGTGCTGGGTCTTACTTGCAGCCCTGCACTCACCCTCCAGCCCCCACAGGGCCAGCCCCAGAGCGAGCTCTGCGCCCGGCAGGCCCCGGGCCTGCTGCCCCCCAGCTGAGAGGGGTTATTTTGGAACTCAGCAGCCGCTGCACCCTTTGCAGCCTGGCCGGGAGGCAGCCGGGATCCGGCTGGGGCAGCTCCTGGTGGGGTGGGGCAGGCTGGAAGGGCAGGAGGAGCGGTTGATTGACACTGACAAGCAGGACTGGGATGAGGGGGGTGGGGTATGCAGAGCGACAGGCACCAAGGGAGGGCAGAGCTGTGCCCCTGCTGGGGCAGCCCCCTGCTCTGCCTCCCTCTCCCCTTCCCTGGCCGGTACCCAGCAGGCTGGTGAGACCGGCCCCCTCAGCCCCACGTGGGGCAGGATGGAGCAGCTGCTGAGGCTGAGGGGGGGATGCAGGCTGGGCCCCTTCAGCTATTGAGCCTGGCCCCCCGGGCTCTCCACGCACGCCTGCTGGGGCTCCCGGAGCCGGCGACATGGCTCACAAGAGGGGAGTGCCCGGGGAGGTGGCGGGTGGACGGACAGACGGACACACCCCTGCACCAGGCCAGGGCGGCGTCTGGGGCTGCAGAGCAGCCTGCCCGGGACACGGGAACAAGGGACTAAACCCACGGGCACAGGGAAGGCGGGAGGGTGAGGCTGAGCACGGGGCAGCCTCCGGACCAGAGCCAGCACCTGGCCCAAGCACCCCTGCAGCTGGGCCCTCCCCACCAGGCACTCACCCCCCTGCACGCTCCCCTCCCCAGCAGCCCCCAGGTCCAGGCCCCACTCGCTGAGGCTCAGAACTGGGGCGGGGGGGGGGGACATCAGCGGCATGAGGCCTCCGCCCTGCCTGGCATCCCCCTGCCCGTGGTGAGCGTCTGCACTCACTGGGCCAAATCCCCCCCGGCGTAACCCTGCTGCGGCTGGGTTTGGCGCCTTGGTGATTAGTGATAAGGCCGGAGCCGGCTGCGCGGGCTGGCTACAAAGGCGGTGCGTAATGAGGGGCAGAGGGCCCGCGAGCACAGAGCTATCAGCAGCGCCCAGGAGGAGACAAGATGAGACGGTGCCCGAGCGCCAGCCCCAGAATCCTCCGCAGGCCCTGACCCCGCGGGCGAGGCTCATTACAGGCCCTTTGAAGCGGCCTGTCAGTCACCGGCACCTTCATCCCCAAGGACGGGCGGGCACCAAGCTGCTCTGGGGACGAGCGGCCCAAGAAGCCAGGGCTCCGGCCTGGCTCAGACAGGGGGCTGGGGACTGCTGGGACGGGATCCGTGTGCACATGCGGGCGGCCATTCCCAGCCATGGGGCTCTGAGCACAGGGCGCTGGGGGTATGTGGGACCGGAGGGAGGAGGCAAAGCTGGGGGGGCTGTTGAATAAGCCCCATTTCTTGCTGTCTGTCTGTAGGTCTGCTTCCTCTCTGTGTGTCTGTCTTAGCTGCAAGACCCACTATCGCAGTTATATTAATAGGTCACATTTCTAACTCCCCTTTCACCCCAAACTGCTTTACAGACTGAGAGAGGGAACTGGTCACCCAGCACCGAGATGCAGCCACCTCTGGGGTGAGGTGCGGGAGCTGGTTATCCAGGGATTTCTCACCCGGCACCCAGATGCAGCTTCCTCTGGGGTGGGGCACGAGGGCTGTTTAACAGCCACACAGCAACGCTGCCAAGAGTTTGACAGGAAAGGCAAATCCTGTATCTAAGGGAGCCTGTTGGGCAGTTTAGGGAGGGTGAACATCACACCCCACGCTGAGATTTGGCCGGGACACCAAGGGTCACACCCTGCCGCTCACTGAAAACCGCTCGGACCGTTACCCCTCCACGCCCGGCCCTCCCCGAGCGGGGCTGGTGATGAGGGGGCTGGGCCCCAAGACAGGCTGAAGGGCCCCCATAGCTGGAACGAACCCTCCACGGGAACAGCCTGCTGCCCCCCCTCTCCCCCGAGCCGGAGCCTCTGCCCACAGCACAGGGAGGAGGGTGTATGTCCCTGGGCTGCAGAGTGGTGGTGGGGGCAGGGGGTGGGGGGCAGGGAGAGGTGGGGGACTTGGGCGTAGGAATTGTGGGGTGCCGGGGGGGCGGTTCCAAGCTCTCTGCTCAGCCGCTTTCTGCAGCATTGTTTAGAGCTTTGCAGACAACGCAGGGCGGGCTGGGCCTGTCTCTGTCCAGCACTCTCCGAGCGGGGTGGGGGGGTACAAACAGGTGTTGCCTGTTCACCCCCAGTAAGCCACCAGGTCCTTTGAAAGGCCACTCAGCCCCCTCCCTCCTTCCAGGGGGGCGAGCCCCAGGGGCCTGGTTAGCCTAGAGGGGCCAGCCATTGGTGCATTGTAATTACCGAGAGAGACGGGTGGCTGCCCTTGTCCCTGCCCCAGCCAGGCCAGGCTCGGAGTGGTCTCTCCCCCGCCCCACCGCAGCCTTCAGGGGCTGCCCCACGGCGGGTGCATCCTGCAGGCTCAGCGGTGTGGGTCGTGCTCCTGGCTGATCAAACTGTAGCAGGTCAGTGTTATTGTCCGGCCTGCCCGTCTGTCAGGGCTCTTCCTGGCGGGGGCCCAAGGGCAGTGCCCAGCACTTGGCGGGGGTCCCGTCCCTCGGGGCAGCGGGGGTATGGCCACCGCACTCGGGCTGAGCGGGGAGCCCCCTGCATGCTGGGCTGGGCGAGCCGGGCGTTAGGCCCCCCAGGCACCCGAACGAGCCCATCTCGGAGATGGTGGTTGGCATCCAGCAGCCGCGACCTCGCTGGACCCTTCTCCAGACGCTGCAGCTGGGATCCCCGCCCCCTGGGCCGCGGCTGGGAGCTGGGGAGGGAGGAATATTTGGGGCCAGACCAGTGGCTCAGCTCCCACTGGCAGGACCTGGCCAGTGGGGTGTGGGGCAGGCCAGGCTGGAAGGGGTGCTGTGTGGGGACAAGGAGTCTGGGTACTGGGGTCTCACCCCTTTGTCCCCCCCTTGCCCTCAGGAAGCCTGGGCACCGACACGGAGGAGCGGCTGGTTGAGCACCTCCTGGACCCATCCCGCTACAACAAGCTGATCCGCCCGGCCACCAACGGCTCGGAGCTGGTGACCGTGCAGCTCATGGTGTCGCTGGCCCAACTCATCAGCGTGGTGAGTTTGCGGGGTCTGCGGCACAGCGCGGGGCTCGCACCTGCCGCCCTGGGCAGAGACCGGGTGCTGGAGGGGTGCAGGCCCTTGGCATGGGGGGGGCTGTGCTGAGCGTCAGTCTCTCACGCCAGTCACGGGCTGCAAACACCCCCGTACAGGCACACGTGTGTGTAGCCCCCTCACACGGGGACACGCCAGTGCATGTGCACCCCCGTGCGCAGGGAGACGCTGGCTCGCTGCGCACACTCGTGCATTTGCACGCAGGTACACACACGCACACGCTCAATGGCCTGCGTCTGGCTCAGCTCTGCTGCTAGAGCAAATCCCCTCCTGGCACCGCCTCTGCCAGGCGCGCCCCTGCCCAGCCGGCACAGGAGGCTCCGGCGCTGCTGGGGGGCGCTGCTGGGGGGCGCTGCTGGGAGGCGCTGGGGGCCGGGCTGCACCGGTGGCTGCTGCTTAGCTGCCCGCGGTGGGGGGGTCCGGTTTGACCTCTCCGAGCTCTCTCTGCCTGGCTGCCCCTGCCCATAGCGGCCAGCCCCAGCCCTGCCCTCTGGCCCCACGCCCTGCTGAGGGCTGGGCCTGTCTCCCCGTTGTGCCCGACCCTGCTAACGCCGCCTCGGTCCTGTTTGCAGCACGAGCGGGAGCAGATCATGACGACCAACGTGTGGCTGACACAGGTGAGACGCCTGGCGTGGGGCCCAGCAGAGCTGGGTCGGGTGGGGGTCACCCCTTCCCCTGGACAGCTCACTCTGCCCCCACTGCGCTGCATCCCCCATACACCCTCCCCCCAGCTTCCTGTGTGCTCCAGAAACAAAGGGAGGGAGGGTCCCGACCCTACGCCAGGCAGGAAGCTCCCCCCAGCCACGCCCTGGCCTGAGGCCCAGGCCGCTTGCGGGGGGGTGCAGGCACTCGGGTGGGGGGAGCGCCAGCCTGGGGTCCCTCCCATCGCCCCAGAGCTGGGGCTGCAGAACCCGGGCCAGTTGGGTGGCAGGGGCAGGGTTGGGCCGGCTGGGCGGCGGGGGCCGGGCAGGGCTGGTTGGGCAGCGGGGCAAGGGCCAGTTGGGCGGCAGGGGCCGGGCAGGGCTGGTTGGGCGGCAGGGGAAGGGCCGGTTGGGCGGCAGGGGAAGGGGCGGGCCGGTGCTGAGGCTCTGCCGCGCTCTCCGCAGGAGTGGGAGGATTACCGCCTCACCTGGAAGCCAGGGGACTTTGACAACATGCGGAAGGTGCGCCTGCCCTCCAAGCACATCTGGCTGCCGGACGTTGTCCTCTACAACAAGTAGGTGCCACCGTCCCCGTCCCCCAGCGGCTCCAGCCTCTATCCCAGCCTCTGGGCCCACTCGCTTGGGCTGAGGGTCCTGCCCAGAGCGGACTTGGCCTGATCTGTGGGGGAGCCTCGGGGGGGGACGCGGGTCCCCTGTGGGAAGAGGCAGCATCTTGTTCCCCCGCTCTCAGCCATGCCAGATCCCAGCAGCTCCACCCAGACCCACAGAGGAGCTGTCCCTGCCCCACCCCCAGGAGCTGGGAACCCAGTTGGGTGTTTTCCACCCCTACCCTCAGCTCCCGGCAGCTGCTGCCCCGGGGGGACGGAGCCGGGCTCCGCTGGGCTGGTGGGCAGAACAGTCCTGGTGGGGCGTGAGATCCCTGCCGCCTGACGGCCCTTCTCCTGCTCCCCAGTGCCGACGGGATGTACGAGGTCTCCTTCTACTCCAACGCGGTGGTCTCCTACGACGGCAGCATCTTCTGGCTGCCCCCGGCCATCTACAAGAGCGCCTGCAAGATCGAGGTCAAGCACTTCCCCTTCGACCAGCAGAACTGCACCATGAAGTTCCGCTCGTGGACCTACGACCGGACGGAGATCGACCTGGTGTTGAAGAGCGACGTGGCCAGCCTGGACGACTTCACGCCCAGCGGCGAGTGGGACATCATCGCCCTGCCGGGGCGGCGGAACGAGAACCCCGACGACTCCACCTACGTGGACATCACCTATGACTTCATCATCCGCCGCAAGCCGCTCTTCTACACCATCAACCTCATCATCCCCTGCATCCTCATCACCTCGCTGGCCATCCTGGTCTTCTACCTGCCCTCCGACTGCGGCGAGAAGATGACGCTCTGCATCTCCGTGCTGCTGGCCCTCACCGTCTTCCTGCTGCTCATCTCCAAGATCGTGCCGCCCACCTCGCTGGACGTGCCGCTGGTGGGCAAGTACCTGATGTTCACCATGGTGCTGGTGACCTTCTCCATCGTCACCAGCGTGTGTGTGCTCAACGTGCACCACCGCTCGCCCACCACCCACACCATGCCGCCCTGGGTCAAGGTGGTCTTCCTGGACAAGCTGCCCACCGTCCTCTTCATGAAGCAGCCGCGCCAGAACTGTGCCCGCCAGCGGCTGCGCCAGCGCCGGCAGAACCAGGAGCGGGCTAGCAGCAGCTTCTACCTGCGGGAGAGCGCCCGCTCCTGCACCTGCTTTGCCAACCAGGCCACCATCCAGAAGTTCGGCGCGGGGGGCGGCCGGCAGTTCACCGAGGCGGCTGACAGCGCCAATGGCTACCGGGAGCGGCAGGGGCAGGCCCCGGCGCCCAGCCAGCAGTGCTGCTGTGGGGTGGAGGAGGCGGTGGATGGGGTGCGCTTCATCGCAGACCACATGAGGAGCGAGGACGACGACCAGAGCGTGAGTCGGGGGGGCGGGGGGAGCCAGAGAGGGAAAGTGGGGGGGGGGGGGAAGGGTGTGCAAGGGGGAATGGACACGTCTGTGTGCTGGTGCACAATCACCCATGGAAGGCTGCGTGTGTGTACGTGGTGCACACACAGCCGGGATTGTGTGCAGGCGGCTGTGTGCAAGCTGGTGTGTGTACAAAAGCACACGTGTCCCTGGCACTGCCCGCCCCATCCCTGTGCATGTTGGTTTCTTTTGCTGGCCCCGCTGCTGGCCAGGGGCTCTGCTCCGTGGCGGTGTGAAGTGTTACCTGGGCACATGCGTGGCCACGGAGGGTGGGCTCAGGCCTGAGCATGGACCAGTCCTGCCCCAGACGTCCTGGGCTCCCTCTGCCCCCTTTGCTGCCGAGCCTGGGGCAGAGACAGCATGGCAAACCCACCCGCTCGGAGCAGGTCTCTGCACCGGCCTCTCCCCAGCTGTGATGGGCAACGTTCATCCCTGGAGTCAGCCAGGGTCCCCCAGGGAGGTGGTGAAAGCGCCGTGCCCCCAGCCCGCAGTGTCACGGTACCCCAGGCAGTACAACAGCCTCCTTCGACTCCCGCACCTGCTGCTCAGCAGGGTGGACCCTCTGCCCTGGGGTACAGGGGAGACCCCCCCACAACTTCCACCCCTCTGCGGGGGAGGGGGTGTCAACCATAATTCACCTAAAGGTTTGCACAGGAGCACTGCCAAATTCCCACGAGCCCTGCAGGGACAATCAGCGCGGTGTTCCCACGCCCCGGTCCCCTGCTGTGCTGTGCTTGGGGGCCTGGAGGGAGGCGACCCGGGCAGGGCGCAGCTTTAGTGCCAAGGGGGCGGCAGTCGGAGCTGCCCTCTCCTCCCAGCCCGGCCTGAAGGACTGGCGGGAAGGCGCCGGCCCTGAGCTCTCAACGCAAATGGCAAGGTCCAAAATCAATATCCTCCTTCTGCTCGGCTGGGCCCCTGTGGAAGGCCCATGAAATATTCATGGGAGATGCAGGCGGGGGGCAGGGAAGCTGGCTGTGTCTGTGGGGTTTCTGCCAACACCCAGAGGGTGGGGGCTTCTGAAATGCAAATATGCCAAGTGCCGGGGTAACCCTGCGGCTGGATTCCAGCAGGCCCAGCCCCTCGCCCCCCATCCCTTCCTCCTGGGCCTTGCCAGACTGTCAGCACCTGCCCCAGCCAGGCCCCGCTTTCGGAGTTGCTATAGTAACCAGAACTGTCTCATCTGAGAGCAGCCCAGGACTTGGGCAGCACCAGCCGGGAGGCTGCAGTTTTTGGATGAGGGGTGGGCGGGAGAGATCCAGGGAGGGGCCCAGCTCAGAGGGGCTCCGGCCCACGTCACAGCACGGTGCCTAGTCTGAGATTCTGGGAGTTGGGGGAGACGCGGACGGGCCTGGCCTGGCCTGGCCGGGGAGCTCTAGGCACCTGTGGCTTTGCAAGGGGAGGTGGGATTGAGACCTGAGCAGAGCCGCGTGTGCAAGGGTACCCCAGGGGTGCGTGCGCTGCAGGTGGGGAGCGTGGGGCGTTGGCAGAGCGGTGGGGGGGATGCCAGCGCAGCCCTTGCTGTGTAGCCCACGGGTCGAGTTCCACATTCCTGGAACGATCCCTACTTTACCGAGGGGAACAGAGAGGCCTCCGCAGGGGAAGTCACTGCCTGGGAGTTACGTGGCAGGTCCAGGGCAGAGGTGGCAGTGCCCAGAGCTACCCAGTGCTGAGGCCACCTGCTCCTGCCACGTGGCTGCACTGCCTCGGCCTGGGCCTGGCTCGCCGTTAGCCAGGGCATGCAGGTCTGCCTCCCTTAGCACAAATCCAGCCCAGGGGAGGAAGCTGCCGGTCCCAGGGCCTGGTGGAAGCGAAGGTGAATGGCAGTTACCGGGCTCCTCTCCACCCTGCCTCCAGCACATGCTGATTTTCGGGTCTTGCCGCCATCTCTAGGCAGCGGAATTAATTCGTTCCCTGCCTGTCCCTCCTCCAAGCCGCGCGGAGGTCCCATCGGTCGCGTCCCAGCCAGGCTCCCTGTGAAGCCGATGCTGTTGGCCAAGGATAGCAATGAGAGCAAGACTCAGGCATGAAACTGCTCCCTCCCAGACCCATAGCAAGAGGGGCAAGCGGCACAGAACAGGAGCGCTTGGCCAGGCCTAAATGCTGCCGTACGGATGGTGAGGCAGGGGCGAGACAGCAGCTGAGGCAGCTTGCACGGATGGTGAGGGAGCCGAGTTCAGATCCCCCTGTGGGGCAGCATGTTGTGCATCTGCTGCCGACCCGCCCCAAGCCCCACCAGATGGAGAGGTGCCCAGATACCACAGTGATGGGGACACCAGAAAGGCCCCCGATCCACGGGCTGACGTGCGAGCGTTCTGAGAGAGGAGTGGGTGATCAGACACAGAAGGGAGATCGCTCTCGGAGCCGTTCCACCCTCTCCCGCCCACGGGCAGGGCAGTGACACAGACAAAGGGCTCTTTGGGTCCCGTTTCACTCCTCCCAGGAGTCCTGACGCCCAGGTCCACACGCTGCCCTGGGCCGCCCACTCCCGGCCTGGGCTTCGTGGGAGCGAGACTGACACAGCACCTTCCAGGTGCTCCCGGAGCGCCTCTCCCGGTCTCGTTTAACCTGTTCCTGGCCGCGCAGGGCTTCCCTCTGTGCCCATTCCTGGGGCCGGGTCTCTGTGTTAACCCAGCTGTGGCCTGCCGGGCAGAGTCTGAGGCCATCACTGCACCAGCTGGCTCGGAAGCAGAGGGGACAAGTGTCACGGAGTGTGGGGGGACACAAGGCCCTGCACCCCCGGCTTCCTGCGATTCACCATGACTCTCAGCCAGCCAGTAAAGCAGAAGGTTTATTTAGACGACAGGAACACCGTCCAAGACAGGTCTTGCAGGCACAGACAACAGGACCCCCTTAGTTAGGTCCATCTTGGGGTCCCGGGGCACCACAGCCCCATTGGGGGGGGGGCAGAGACCCGTCTGGGTTTCCTCCATTACCAGCCAGCTCCTGAAACTCTCCCTCCCCCCGCGTCTCCTCCCCCAGCCTTTCTCCTGGGCAAAGGTGTCACTGGCGTCTACCCCTTCCTGGGTTCTCATGTTACATGCTCAGGTCTCTTCCCTCGGCCAGTCTCCCATCCCCCAATGCAGACCATCCCAGCCACACTCCCCACTCAGCATTCAAAGGCCACATGAAGAACAGTCCCAGTTCGTCACAACAAGCCAGCCCGGGGGCAGCAGGCCTGGCCCCGGTGCTGCTGCTGGGCTCCTGGGCCCAGGTGGGTTGATGGGGAAGGAGGTTTGGCAGGAGCGACCGCGGAGGCCGGACTAGCACCATGTAACCGCCCTGTCCTCGAGCCTCTGCCTTTGATGGGATTGAAACTCCTCAGCCCCACGCAGCTCGGCCCTGGCCCCATTTCCTCGCGCCGCCTAGGGTCAGTGTGTGGGGCGGGGCGGCCGTGCCCCGGATTCTGAACACGCCGTCTCCTTCCAGGTGAGCGAGGACTGGAAATACGTGGCCATGGTGATCGACCGCCTCTTCCTGTGGATCTTCGTCTTCGTCTGCGTCTTCGGGACCATCGGCATGTTCCTCCAGCCGCTCTTCCAGAACTACGCCACCAACTCCCTGCTGCAGCTCAACCACGGCCCGCCCAGCTCCAAATAGGGCTGGGGGGTGGCAGGCAGCCCTGCCCCGTGCGCGCGGAGCCATCACCACACGGCAAAGACAGCGGCCTGGCACGTGTGACTGGAGCACGCAGGCCCGGGGGAGTCCGGGGAGGGGGGGTCTCAGGGCCTTGCTGCTGTTTTCAGTCCTGGCTCCCGCTGCTGGGGGGGGGAGGGGGGCTCCACGTCCGCCCCATTGAGAGCAAAGCCCCAGGAGCTGATGGAGGAGACAGGCCGGGAGCTGGGCGCAGCTCGAGGTGCCCCGACCCTTCCTGGGAGGGACAGGACTGCTCCAGCAACTGGACTTGGGGGTCAAGGAGGGCTTCCCTCCCCCCAGAGATAGATTAGCGAGGCCAAACGGTCCCCACAGTAGCAAGGCGTGAGTGAAGCGGGGCCGTGGATCTCTGCCGTGAAGCTGCTGCCAGGTCGCGTGTGGCCGGGGGCAGGGCTGGCTGGGGACGCTCCAGCTCAGCAGGGCAGGGTGCAGGCAGCAGCTGGGGGTGAACACGCCCCAGACACGTCCTCTGGACTGAGCCTGGAGCCCGTCGCTGCATTCAGCCAACTGTGTCCCTGGAAGCTCGGGGGGGGGGGGTGCTGCCCGGGGCAGCCTCAGACGTCCGCTGCTGCTTCCAATGTCACCACAGCCCAATAAATAATCACACGGACTCGGGGGAAGGGGGAATTTGTTTAAAACTTGGTTTAATTTGACCCCCTTTTTATTTCTAAGCTACCCTCATCATGGGGCACCCCGGAGCAGGGGAGAGGCAGGGCCGGTAGGGCACAAGGGCTGCAGTTCTCCAGGTGGGCTGGGAACTTTAACACAGGGGGAAGAGCAGCGTCCCTGTCTCGTTGCGATTTACACGCTGTTAACTCCGAGCCAGAGCGCACGTGGGGGCACTGCACCTGGCCATGCCCCGGCGAGGGCTCTTGTGCCACCGCAGATCCCGATCGGGCTGCACCAGGCTGCGGCGTCCGTGCCAATGCCGATGGAAGATGTCAGTGAAACCCGGGCGCGAACGTGCAGCAAAGCTGGATTCCACCCGTGTCATAGAGGGTGATAAAGTGCGTCGTGCTGCGAGGCGGCGCACGGGGCAAAGGGGAGCCAGGTTCAGCTGATGCCACTGGGACTTCCATGGAGCGAGAGTGATTATTACAGCCACCAGCCAGCTCGATCGAGATCCTTGCAGACACACCCAGGAGTCGCCCGTGGCCCCAGTTTCCCTCTGCAAGACTCCGAGGGTGGCTCGTCAGATCTCAGTATTACTATCAGTCCGTGGGTGAAAGATCCCACTGCCTGTTCCTTCTGCCGGAGCCCGAGGGCCGTCCCCTCATGGGTTCCAGCTCTGCGGGGGGGCGAGACGCAGCAGATACAGCCGCAGCTCGATTAGAAACCGTGTCCAGGCCCCTGGCTGGTGCCCTGGACCTGATGTGGGGTGGAGGGAGATGGACAGTGCATGTGCAGAATGGAAACCCAAGGCCAGTGCCGCGGTCCCTGGGCAGGCAAGAATTAGCCTCCCTGGGGGAAATTTGAAATCAAGCCTCTCCTATAAATAGCGCTAATCCTCCAGGCTGCATGGAAGGGCAGCACGGAGCAGAGGGACAGGCTGAGCACATCCCGCTCTGTAAACAATCCCAGCCAGTAATTTCTCAGCTTTCCCTCCAGCCAGGCATAGAGGGTCCCGGCCTGCTCCCCACTTACACTGCACCCAGCTTTGCCCTCCAGGGGGAGCGGGACTAGATTTTAGTGGTATTTCAAATCTAAAGCTGTTCGAGTATGGAACTGCCGTGGCAGATGAGTCCCCGCGGGCCGGAGACCACTGGCCTTGCTGGTCAGCTACCCACTGAGCGGTCAGGATCACGGTCCCACCCCCCGACCGCTCAGCCCCGGGCTCTGCTGCGGAGCAGCTCAGGCACAAGCCCTCTCCTGCCTTTGCACGGTGGTAGAATCCGAAGTCTTGGGGCTCAGCCGGAGCAGAGCTCTGCAGTGCCAGCCTAGCGTTCGGGGGCGGGATGGCTCAGAGCGGGAATCCAGCCCCACCTCCGGCTGCAGCACAGCGCCTTGGCCCACGCCGGGAGAGAGACGGCAGCGGCACTAGGCAGCCAGGTGGGATGCTGCCTCCATGTGCCCTAGACTGGATGCATGAAGACAGCTCCCGTTCTCTGCCTACTCCCACCCCTTCGCTTTAAACTGCGGATCAGTCACGCTGTTGGGTTCTACTTCTAACTCCCCCGTCCCGCCCCCCAGACACGGGAGGGGGCAGTACCAAGTCTTTACTCACCGGGTACGTAACAGGGTCCCTTCATGGCATGAGCAGCACCGTGCAATGGGCGGCGGGCAGGGTGAACTCTGCTCGGGCAGCGGTTGGGCGCTTTGAAGGAGTCTCTTTAGCCCCTTTGCATCATGTTTTCACCGAGTCATTTTCAAGTCCCCCTTTGCTTAGCTCTGAAGGCACCTGGTTTCCCAGTGGTTAGTGGGACCCCATTAAAAATACAAGAGTGGCTGCTGGGCGGCCACAAGGCAAAACCCTATGGCAGAGCAATAGCCGTGGGCCCTGCAGGGGGGTTGAGTGACACCTTCTGCTCCTGTTGGCTGTGGCCAGGAGACCCAGGCGTCAGCAGAGTTTTATTGTTTTCCTTGGTTTTCAAAATGGCCTATGCGTCCGTCCCTGGCACTACACCTTGCACGGCTGGTCACCAGCATCTTCGTGCTGCTCCGAGCAAAGCGAGAGCCAACGGTGCTCCAGGACGGGGTGTGTTTCGAAGGGGGGCTGTAACTGTTCTGACATGTAATAAAACCGCTCTTGGGCAGGACAGTCTCTGTCTTAAAAAAAGCTTGAGCTCAAATGTAACAGGAACCTGGGCTACGGGGCCGCGCTGGGCAGATGCTGCCCTCCCAGGAAGGTCAGTCAGCTACGGCACCTCGTGGAGACGTCTTTGAATGGAGCATGTTAGCAGCACTCCCAGCACTATGAAACCCACAGAGCTGCAGCTCACATGGTCAGAGCTGTCTGGCCAAGGGGGCTCCTTCAAGTCTAGCTGGGGGGCTGCCTGACAAGGCTCCATGCCCCAAGGGCCCTGGGCTCGCCCACTGGCCCTGCTCCGGGAGTTAGAGAATGACTCCCCTCCTCACCCGGAGAGGGAAGCACAACTCCTCAGCCAATCCCCAAGGCGGCCGGGCAAGTTTAGGGGCAGATTGTTAATGTGGAGGGCGATTAGCCACTGGAACCAGGGGAGGTGGAGTCGATCTGGTGAGGGCTTCGGAACCAGCTTGCCATGGGTTAGCCAGACACAAGTCACGGGGCGCAATATGGGAGCACGGGGGTGAAACTGCCTGGCCTGGGTCACCTAGGATGATCTGATGGTCCCTTCTGGCCTTTAAATCTATGAATTGCCAACTGTCTCCCCTTTAGGGGGGGCGGAGGGGTTATTCCCTTGCTTCAGCACAGCTGGGGCTATGCAGGTAAGTACCCAGGGATGGACAGAAGGTGCCCCTAGCTCCAGTGATGGCAGAGCAAGTCACTTCAGAAGTCACTCGAGAACTTTGAGGGGGGAGAGATTGAACCTGCCCCTGCAGAGATGCTGCTCAGCACAGACCCGCCGTCCGGGGGCAGAGCCCCACCTGGTTATGAAATCAGTGCGGGACATGGTGCAGCCGTCAGCACTTGTCCAGCTGACGAGCAACTAACCCCCCTTTCCCTTCTGAGCGACTCCATCTCCATGCTCGCTGCCATTTAAATTAACACCAGCTTTGGCCCCACCGTTCGTGTCCCAGAATTAAAACAACCCACAGAGCGGAGCTGTCTAACAATACAGATTTTTTTTTTATTTTTATGCGGAATGTTAGGACTTCATTTCATCGATACCGAGGGGCACTTAAAAGCAGACTTACAAAAATTAAAATAAAATAAAAAGGAGGGTTACAGTTCTCCCATGAATAAATTTACATTTGTTTCCATTCAGCTCTCCAGAGCCAGTGTGACAAGAGAAGGAATCCGACATGACAGAAAAGAAAGGGGGCGGGGGTAGGACGAGTTTGCAGGAGACAGTCCCCAAATGATGCACGGCGGGAACTGCTCCGACCCGCTGACATTGCAACGAATTACAAATAAAATAAATGGGGGCGGGGTGGAGACGGCACAAGGAGATGCCAGAACTGAGGAGTAGGAACAGGTCTGGGTCTCTCTTTAATGACTTCAGAGGGGCAGCCCGCCCCCTGACCTTGCCCCCAGCCTCCCGCACTGCAACGTACACCCCGCACAGCACTTGACCGCTCACAGCGCCACTCAATTCGCCCCTTCCCCCGGGGCCAGGCTAACCCAGACTAGCTTCTGACAAAGCCCAGGCCAGCTCAGGCCAAACGCAACCGACCTCCAGAGCAAGCTGATCCCGTAACCCGGGGCCTGGGATTCTAGGCAGGCTGGATGGGATTTGCTGGCCCTGATAGCCCAGTGCTGGCAGGCAGCCCCACGACCCCCATTCCCCAGGGCTGCCCAGACACAGGCCTGCAGAGAGGGCAGGCGGGAGCACAGCCACCAATCAGCGTTCCCAACACAGACAGAACCTGCCTTAGATCCCATCACCCACGAAGGCATCTTAGATTCCTGCAAACAACCAAGAGGAGAGGCTGGCTGGGCCCGAGGCCTGTAGACAAGATAAAATTCATGACCGTTTCAAGGCACGGTTTAAAAACAGAGGCCAGGCTTGAAAAGATCCCTGGTCCCATTTCAGTAAAAGGGGCTGTGCTGCGGCCGAAACAGCCATGGGCTAGTCATGAAACTAGTCCGAAGGGGCGTTTGGGGTGAGGAGGAAAAGCTCCACTTCACTGACGTGCATCTTAAAGTGGTGTCACCCTACCTGGCAAGTCTGGGGCACCTCACCCTCGGGGGCCACTCGCCCCCCTCGCAGGGGGAAGTGTCAGGCAGGGTTTTAGAATGGCCCATCTCAGCAGGCTCCAGAAACCAAGCCCCAACCCTCATAATCAACAGGGTATGTCAGACAAGG